GCTGCTGCTCCACATCGAAAGGAGCCAGCTGAGGTGGTTCGGGCATCTGCAATGAGACATTAAACTGTTTAATTTTCAATAAAAAAAAAACTGGAAAATGGAGTGTTCTAAAATTTATGACCAGTAGTTTATATGTTTTACTTTGTTTTGAATTTAAAAACTTGTAGATAATGTGCAAAAAAATAGATTTTATTTATGTCTTTGTATAAATTTTTAACTTTGGATAATGGTAGCTTAGTGAAGATCCAAATGGTCCCTTGTAGCACATTTGTTAATGAATAAATCTTCTGAAGTAAACTTCACTTGGTTCATATGAAACCACTGTTCAGTCTCAATCCACACAGCATTATTGCCGCTTTATAAAGATGGAACCCTTCCCTACTAATGAAATATAGAAATGTGATCTGATCAAGGATCTTTAGACTCAATGGGGAGATTGAAATTGAGTCAGTGTTACTGGATAACTTAGTGTAACTGCTTCTTGAGTAGTTATGATACTTAGCATTGTGACTAATATCTTAGGAACTTCCACACAAGATAGCATTTGTTAGGATTTGTTACATTATTTAGTTATTCTGTGGTTGATGTTAGAGGAAAGCAGAGTTAGTATTTTGCTCTGCTGTTAGACCCATGAATTTAGGGTTTAACGTGTTCTTAGTATAGCTACAAGAGCCATGCATCCATTTTAGTACGCTTAAGTGGTTGATCTCTATAGAAGACCAACCATGTTTTCTCTTTCTCCCTGGTTTCTAGAAAATTGCTGGTTTCTAGTTGCTTTTTGGTGGAGGTAGAATTGGTGCATAAATTCTCACCAGAAGTAGCTGTCTGAACCCTAGGGTTGAGACTAAATTGTACTAAATGACTAAGACTTGGTAGCATAAACTCTGTGGTGGAGCTTCACCATTGTATTTGTGTCTAGGGTTTCTGACCTTACTGAACACATGACTTTTTCAGAGGGTGGTATGGGGAACTGTGACTAGGTGTAAGTGGTAAGTGTATAAAGGGTAAAAATTGCACAGTTGAACTTGAGTAGTGTTGTAATTAATCTAGTAGTTTGATCTGGTAGCTTTATTGTAGACCACGTTAACTGCTTTGAATTGCTGTTGTGTCTTGTAGGTATTTTTATGTGCTTCCTTCAGCTTCCAGGCCTCTCTGGGGGGAAATATATCTCTGCCTCGAGTTTCTAGCTAAAAGTTACTTAGTAAGCAAATAGGGGAAAGTGTTGGAAGTCAGATTGTTATTTACAGCTAAATTTTATTTTGGACACAGATCTTGCGTGTTTGGTGTCATGAGAATGCAGCCATTCGCTTGCCATATGAAAGTGACACATTCATATGTCCTTATATGGTCAGGACAGTCTTCAAATTGGAAGGACTGTGTGTGTGTGTGTGTGTGTGTGTGTGTGTGTG